CCTTGGCATGAAGAAGTATTTCCAAGACTCGTGAGACACAGAGGTGAGACACAGAAATGCAGAAGACACAGTAGACACAGAGTATGAAGCAGACACTTTGAACACTTAGACACATGAATGACTTGGATAGTGATTCCAAAAGATGGGTGGTCTATTTCTGACATCATGGTGGAGTTATATAGTACAAGGGAAGTAGGTATGAGTCAGAGTAAGGTGGGGCAGAAAAACTAAAAACCAGAAAATAAAGGAATGGACATCAGACATCAGCAAAATACAGATGCACATGAAATAGTCCAGTGGGTAGTAGACAAGAGTAAGAATGGGACAATAGTAAGGGGTATCTTCCAACAGAATGAGAGTATGTGTACCAGTGGGAGGTGGAGCTGAGCAGCACAGGAGGGCAGAGTGTAGTGTACTGGCATGAAGTCCAGTTTGTGGAATTTAGGGCAACAGGGGAAACCAGAGTTTTTTTTTGAGGTAAGTGGCACAGATGACTGGTGATGTGGCTGAGCAGTGGCATGGCTGTTGAATTCCAGGTGACTCTGCACAAATGCAGAATTTCCTGATCAGCATTTTGATGACTGAGTGACATGCTGAAGGTCAGTAGAAACTCTGAAGGTGACAGGGGTTGGGAGGAAACATGAGGACACAAGCAGGAAAAATTCCAAAACAGGTTTGTCATAGAGGCCTGTGGAATTTAGTGACAGATTCCTGTTCCAGCCTCAGGGAGTATATGGCTCCCTACACCAGTCTTCCATGTCTCCCAACTTGAGCCAGCCATCCCTAACACCATCCCAAACCAGACTCAACCACCACCCCCACCAGTCAAGGTTGACTGGTGTCACCAGTGTTGGCTTCAGTACTTAGTCCAGTGGACTGGCTATGAAGGGACTGATGAAGAAACAACTTGGGTGCTCACCACAGAACTAGAACATGCTTCTGAACTTATACAAGAGTTCCATGCCTGCTACCCTGATAAACCCAGCCCTTTCCAATGAGAACCAGCCTCAACTGGCCTCAGTTCTCTTTTCTATTTTCTCTTGGTATCTAGTCCCTCCCTGATCTCTTGCTTACCTTGTACTTTTTCTCTTGTTTCTCTCACTTTACTTTACAAAGCCAAGACTGGGTGCTTGACATTTGGCAGGGAAAAAAGAGAAGGTGCTATGCTATGGTCTAATCAGCCTTGTCCTCCCCCTTGTCCTCCTCTTCCCCACCCTTGTCACTGGCCCTTAGCCATTTGGCCTCCTTGCACAACTTGTTGGAGTTGAGCTTGGATGAGCCTGAGTCTGATGGAGTGGCCAACACCCCATACCCATAGGACTCATCAAGGAGGGCCTCAAGGGCTGGCCTGAGTTTTTGTTTGTGGCCTCCTGCAAGTTGTAAAGACTTGCCAGGTTGTTAGCAATCAACCCCGTGGCCTTGATCAGGTGCTCAAGTTTGTTCTCCAAGCCCAAGTACCTCCCCATCTTGGCCTCCCTCAGTCCACTCCTGTCAGCCTCAGGTTCACTGAGGTCTAGCACCTTGACCGGCTTCACACTTGCCTTTGCCCTCTTCTTCTTGCTTGGCCCAGGCTCAGGTGTCTCCTCATTGGCCTTCCTCTTCTTCCCCTTGTCAACCCTCCCAGTGGCCTTGGAACTGGCCTTGGTGTCCTTCCCATCCCCAGGCCACTGGCACTTCCCCTTCAACAGGTTGCAGTGGATGCAGGCAACCCATTTCTTGTTACCATCTACAGGGAACTCACAGATGACTTTGGCCCAGGTACAGCAAGTACAGATAAAAAGATAAGGGGGCACACACAAGGCTGTTAAGGAGCACTTACCCAGGATCCATTACCACTTTCCTCACTGTGCTGGTCTCACTACCACCAGCCTTATCCCTGGCCTCATCACCCTTCTTGGCCTCAGCCCTGCACTTCTCCTCCTCCTCATGTGCCCTCTTCTCCTCATCCTCCCACTCAGCTCTTTCAGCCTTGACTAATTCCCTCTCCTGTCTCTCAGCCTCCAGCTGCACCTGCTCTTCTTGCCAGGCTTGCTCAGCCACCTTTCATCTCTTCCTCTCCTTCACCTTCGCCTTCATTGTCTCCTCTTCATCATTGGTGTCATATTTTATGGCATCATCTGACACCTGGGTCCAGTTGATGAGGACCCAGCCTTCATCATTGTCAGTTGCAGTGATTGGCCTTGATTTGGACATGATGAGCAGATTGCAAAAGAAAGACACAAAGGGCTTAGCAAGTCACAAGTATCAGTTTTTTCAAACTCAGCCAAGATTTGGACTCAGCCTACCACTCTCACAGAGGTCTCATGGGTTCAACCCCTAAGAGGGGGATACTGTCATAGCTGTGCCTTGACCCTGGCCAGACTCAGCCTCACACTTGCCCAGTCTGGCCTTGGCCTTGCCAAACTCTACCCTCAGTTGGCCTAGCATGGTTAGCACTGCTTTGCAGTGTTGTTACTAAGTGCCATCTCAGTTGACCCTGCCTCAATTTTGTCCCTGGCCTGTCCTGTCCTGGTCTCCATTACCTTAGTCATACCTTACTAATATTTGTCTTACCAATCACCTTAGCAATCTTTTGCAAGACCAGCATTGCAGGTCTCCATACTATAGCTACTTCTAGTATATAAGCCTGTAGATACTTGGCCTGTATGCCCTCAGTCTGAAATAAAATAAGTTCTATCTGTAATCCTTGGCCTCAGACTTGGACTGTGACCCACACAAGGGAATAGCACTGTAGCCTCAGTTGCTAAGTCCAATCAGTCCACCACTCTGTCTCTTCATCTTTCCTCCTGATCCTGACCCCCTGGCCATGTGCCCACTTTGGTCTCCAGTCTGGACTCAACCTGGACTTCATGAACTTGACAACAGGTAGGAGCTTTGCTCTGTGATCAGACCTTAGACTTCTGATCAACATCCATGGCATAAGGGTCTTGGTACAGCATTTTCAGAGATGAATGAGACTTTGATCTGTGAGAAGTTTGTTCCTGCTTCCAGAGATAGGAGTGGTCTTGGTAGGTCACTTTTCTGGAGAAGACCTTGAGAGTCACCATTGTGGCATGGGCTGCCATTGCTTGGCAGATCCAGTCTTTGATGGTGTCTGGCTTGAGGCCAGCCATGAGGATCCACTTATTGATTTCTTCATTAAGGCCTTTTCTGAAGAAGACTGCTGCAGTCAAGTCTTTGGTAGATATCTGGGCCTTGTTGAGGCAGTTGTGGAAGTTGGCAATGTACTCATCGAGAGAATGATCTCCTTGATGGATAGTGGAGAGGTAGATTAGTGCAGTAGACCTAGCATCTCCTACTTGGAAGGTTTCCTTGAGTTTCATGACAAACTTGTCCCAGCCATTGAAAATTTTGAGATCCCCAAGAGTAGTAGTGTTTACATTGACATAGGCTTCTGCGAAGGCACAAGCCAAGCTGCTCCCCATGTAAGAGAGGGCAAACACAATCTTGGATTGGTCCTCATAGTAGATATGGTCATTAGTGGCAAGGTAGAGTTTGACTTTGCTTAGCCAGGTGGAGAAGTCCTGGTGGGCTCCATCATATGAGAAGGGTTTGTTAAGGCTGATTTCTTTCAGTCCTCCTCCCTTAGAGTTGTGTTCCTTTTCTTTCTCCTCAGAACCTCAGGAGTGGCCTTTAGGCCTAACCACATCTCTGCCAAAGATGGATTTGTAAAATTCAGTGGCCATTTCAGAGGTTACCCTACTCTGTCCAGCAAAGGGGTCCTGGAGATTTAGTCCAGAGGTATGGTGGGCAAGTTCTTCTGCCATTGGGTTGGTAGAAGTTGGAAGGTATATGTCAGTGGATGAAGACAATGAGGGGTCCACTGGTCCAGTTGTCCCTTGTGGTTGTGTTTCAATGTCTGAGCTGATGGGCTTTGGATTCCAGTAAGTAGTAAAGTCAATAGGTGAGGTTGATTCTGCCACTTGCCTGAGTTGGGGCCTTACTGGCAGGTCTTCAAGACCTATACAAGGGTTTGGAGTTTGCACCAAAGGGTGACAAATAAGTGGCCTCACTTGGAGGACTTCTTTTCCTTTATGAGAAGGTACAGGAGGTTTGAACAAAGAGGCTGCTGATGGAGGCCTCTTACTTCCTTCTTCTTGGCATGAAGACACATTGATGAAGAGGAAGGTTAATGCCAAAAGTTAGGGGCTAGCTCACTGATGATTATCACCAGTGGTTCCTCTAGTAGTGGCAGGAGGTGCTTGTTTTGCAGGCTATTTTGCCTAGCAAGGATTCTAGAGCACAGGTATCTGAAGGATAGTCTGGTTTTTGATGTGGCTGGGTGATTCAAAATCTTCTATTATGCCAATGACTCATATTGCATCACAAATTGAGTGCAGTGTAACACAAGCATGTGACTGCATGAGAGGTGACATGTTATTTAACTTTCACTAGCAGCAGAATACTAGTCTTGGCCAACCAAAGTCATACTGTCAAGTCCTTGTGGGTATAGCAAGCAGAGCTAAGGGTGGTTGCAAAGTAGAATTTCAAATGGAGAGCAAGTATGATACATGTGGGTTTATATACATATGTAAAGTACTGCAGTACAAACATTCAAAAACATCTAAATGCACACCTGCATCCCAAACCTGGCAATGATGAGTCATAGTGAGTCACTGCACAGCAGGACTACATGTATAACCACATCTGCACAGTGGGCAAGACTGGGGGTGAACATATGACAAGGGGGGAGTAACCACATATATATGACATACAGGGGTAAACAGGTACCAGGGGTACATGTGTCACATGACTGTGTGGATCAGGGCCACCAGTGGATCATGGAAGGAAGGGCAAATGGACATAATGTCTGGCTATGGTACAATGCAGGGTAAACAGGGTGAAGGATATAAAAGGAAACATACAGAACACAAGTCTGGCTGTAGGGACAGTGGGCTTGCAGATGGCAGAACATTGTCACTCAAAAGTGTGATGAGGTGTGAGTGTTATGTAGAGAGTCTGAAAAAGGGAACTATGTGAGCACAGCATAACAATTGTCCCTTCACCTTGATGATGTCAAAAGGTACATTCCTGAGGAGGTACTCTAGGGTCAAACCTATGTGTATACCATGCCCTTTGAGGGGGGGCAGACCTACTTTCTTGAGAGCCAATTCAAGTGTTTTCAAGAAGGTGTGTCTGGTGAGGGGATGATGACTGTTCTTGGTGCGATACACAAAGAGGTGGTGTTATGCCTGTGTCAGGGGTCTTTCCTTTTTCGGTTCCTTGTGATCATGTGTGTCACATGCCTCATCATGTCCTTCGTAATTGTCACTGTCCTAGGGGCTCATATGCTGTGAGGCTCCTTTGGATCTCCTGCTGTCAAGGTATTTCCAATACCTGTCAAGACTGCACCTCTGGCTTGATCTGGTATTCCACTGCCCTCTCTGATGGACGACTTGTTTACTTCTTGTTCCGGTGACTCATCTCTGACTCGTTTATATTGCTTATATGTTGTACTATAGCCCCAGTGTCTGGCTCCTTGCTGTGCATTGATTGTGCAGCCAGTATAGCCTTCATTCCCCCATCTCCCTCCATCATATGACACCAAATGACTCCTCCCCATTTATTTATTTGACTGATTGTGGTGTTGATTACTGCAGATATGTGTCATGACATGTCTTGTCACGACTGGTATGGTACTTGTACTTAGGGGTATATAAACCTATGTACTTTACCTTGTATCCTCAGTTTTTTGATAGCTTGCAACTTAACTAACTTCCTTCACTTTTGTCCTCATTCCCTCCTCCATGTGATCTCAGAAGAACTCACCAGAAGGAGCGAACTGCCATTGGACCTCAGCAATAACTGAGCCATAGGGGTTATGACACATTTGGCCTGTAGACTCCCCCTCATGCGCTTCATGCCTATTCCATTTGAAGAAGTCACTGTGCTCAGGCATAACAAAATTGAAAAACTCAATGCAGCTTTCAGGACTTATCAACCTCTTCATGAAAGTCTACTCATCCCTGGTTACTGAACTTCAATAAACCAACTCTCATCTAAATTGCACTAGGCTCATCGCTCTCCCTATGTGTAAAGACTGACTTGCCTCTGTCCTGCTTCTCGAACAAGATTGAAAAGCACCCCTCTACCCTTAATCAAATTCACTGCTCTACAGGCAGCCATTAGGCTTTAATAGATTGCCTCCCTAGGGCCAGCGCTCATGTCTCCCTATGTGTAAAGCCACTTGTGCACCTTCATACTTCTCTACACTGACAGGTTTCTTTCAAGAAATAAATCCTCCCTCAGCCTTTGTTGTCACTATCCATAAAAGTGTCTAACCCACAGAAATCAAGACCACCAGTCCCCCCTTGACCTAACCCCCTTGGACTTGGACAGAGTCCACCTTTACCACCCATCCCTTTAAGATGACTTGGTCCTTTGGTTACTGCAACAAATCCCCAGTTATCTTATCTGTCCTAGTTTAGGGATTTGGAAGTTGTGCTTAGTTCAGAAGAAGAAGATGATCAGAAGTCTGAGACTTCTTTCAGATCAGTCCTCAAAGAAGAACAAGAAGCTTGCAATACAGAAGAAATGTCCATGACAATCAGTCATGGAGATTCAGTTCCTGAAATGCCCCTGAGGACCATTTTGGAAGAGGAACTGAGACAGAGGTTGGAAGAACAAAGAGTCACTATGGCAGAGGAGCTCTGCCAGGCTATGCATGCAACTACAAGCGACCCATTCCCAACAGGTACACCTACTGACTTGGCTTTATGAGAATGGTATCACAGGAACTTCCAAGAGGCCATACCCCCAGAGCTGTCCACTGGTGATAGCAGTAAGGGGAAAGCCAAAGCCAATGATGACGATTACTATGGCTTGAGCCGCCCACCCAATGGAGGTCAGGAGTTTAATGTTGGGCATCCTGGAGAATATGACAGAAGCCACAATGGGCTTCAGACCTGGGTTACACAGGTCAAAGGTTACTTGAACCTGAACAAGCACATCTATAATTCAGAGTCTCTCAAGATTTCGTTCATGCTCATGTACATGACCAAGGGTGCTGCTGTGTTGTTTGCCAAGAACTATCAAAATGAAAACAAGATGCTTGATGGTACAATCTATTACACTGACACCTTTCAAAGGTTTGTTGAAAGGCTAAAGGCAACTTTCGAGTGGGTGACCAGACCACCCTTGCTATCTTATGTCTCTCAGACATCCAACAAGGCAAATGAGAACTTGAGGCATACATCGCTGAATTTATGGGGCTTGTTAACAAGGCTCAACTTAAAGAAGAATCATGTGAAGCAGGGATCTTCTTCAGGAAAGGCTTGAATAAAGAATATCACGACTGGGTTCTTAATTCTGGACATGCCCCTTCCATGGTCATAGAGTGGATACAGTGTGTGGGAGAAGCCAGAACTGCGATCACTACGAAGCATATCCCAGAAGGGAAGGAATCTTGGTATGAATGCAAATTCATTCATTACTGTGGAGGTTCCCAAGATCCTGATGCAATGGATGTTGACAAATGCAAATGAAACATTAGACATTCCAGCTTGGAAATTAAATGCTTCAACTGTGGAGCTGATGGTCACATCAAATGTGACTGTAAAGTCAAAGTCAAGACTCAACTGTCCAATGTCCACATTGTCCTCTCAGAGGACAGAATGAAGACTGCCTATGTCAGAGATCATGAAGCAAATGTGGAGGAGTGGAAGTTGTTGGGTTTTTAAAGAGGACTGATGAATCTCCTGCATCAGTCAGTCCTGTGTCAGTTTTGTCTGCTAAATGTACTTCTATAGGTGGTGAATCAAATATGCAAATTCATTCTCCTCTCAGTTTGGTCATTCTACTGGACTACAATGCAGGAATATGGGCCTGTATTGACTCAGGCACTGAAGTCTCCCTCATCTCGGAAAAGATGGTCCAGAAACTTAGGATCCTGACATATCAGGTGGAAAAGAAGTTCAAGACGACCTCATTTACCGGAAAAGATGAAGAATGGGTAACCTGCAAGGTAACCCTGAAGATGGAGATCAAGGAGTGAGTTATCTGGGTCAAGTGTTACATAGGGCCTCTTGTTGGAAAAGAACATGTCCTTCTTGGGATGCCATTCCTCAAGGAGTTCAAACCAAGAATGAACTGGGAAACCAGAAAAATTACATGCTGGGATGATGGGTATGTGTATCCCGAAGGATCTGACTATTTTGTCAAACAGGTAGTGTCTTCAGACATGGACAGTACAAAGAAATCTTCTGGCCTATCCCTGGAAGTGGTAAAACAGGTTTCAGGTGAAACCCCCAATGTAAAAGTTAACAAAACAACTCTGTCCACAGAACTTGAGGCTGCCTTAGCAGACAGAAAGGAGGAAGTCAAGCTTCCTGAAATTTACAAGGAATTTGCCAAGGTGTTTGCAGAAGATGATATCCTGCTCCTGACACATTGGCCAGGGTTAGATCACAAAATCAGACTTTGTGAAGACTTCAAACTGAAGGAAGCAACAGTATATCTGATGTCTCCTGACAAACTTAAAGTTTTAGATGAGTTCTTGAACGAGAATCTCAGATGTAAGAAGATTTGACCATTGACTTCACCCCAAGCAGCACCAGTGTTTTTCGTGGCAAAGAAAGATGGGAAGAAGTGGTTAATTCAAGATTACCACTACCTCAATTCAGTTTACTATCCTGGATGCACACCCATTGCCAAATGTGCAGGACTTGTTTGACAAACTTGTCAAATCAAAGTATTATGCCAAGTTTGATATTCATTGGGGTTTTACTAACCTCTGGGTCAAAGAAGGCAATGAGTGGAAAGGAGCATTTATCACACCAAGAGGGCTTTTTGAAGCCCATGGCAATTTTCTTTGGACAATGCAACTCACCCACTTCGTTCCAGAGGTACATGGATAAACCTTCAAATCTCAATGAGGAAAGCAAGTAGGATATATGGATGACATTGCTATCCATGCCAAGACGAAGGAAGAACTTTGAACTTGGGTTTGCAAGTTCTTAAAGATTTGCAAAAAGGAAGGACTTCACCTCAAGATCAGCAAGTGTGTCTTTGAGGCCGAAGAAATAGAATTCCTTGGAATGATTATAGGAAAAGGGCATATGGAAACTTCACCAATGAAGACCGATGCCATCAGTACTTGGGAGGCCCCTGACAATCTGACCAGGCTTTGCAGATTTCTCAGATTCTGTAATTTCTACTGCAAGTTCATCCCTTCCTTCTCAAGCATGTTGCAAGACCCCTCCACTGACCTTACTAAGAAAGGGGTTTTGTATCAGTGGACTCCTGAATGCGATGCCATGTTTGAGAAGTTAAAATCTTTGTTATGCTCCTCTCCAGTCCTCACTATCCCTGACTTCTTCGAAGTCCCTTCACCCTCTTTACAGATGCTTCAAAGCTTGGTACAGGGGCTGTCCTTGCCCAGAATGGAGCTGACAATGAGTGGCATCCATGTTCCTACCTCTCACAGTCCTTTGTCAGGGCTGAACAGCACTATCAGGTCTATGACCTCAAGATACTTGCCATAATTCGCACTTCTCAAGGCTTTCCTGACCTTACTTGCTCTCCCCTGTCGAACCTACTGTGGTCTTTACCAACCACAAGAACTTGGAGTACTACTGTGAGCCTCAACAGCTCACCCCTCACCAGGCCCACTGGGCCACTACTATTCAGTCTTACCCTATCCAGTTCTCCTGGCAGGCTGGTCACCTCCAGGTCCTGGCTGACACTCTCTCTCATAAAGGTGCCATGGAGGAACCCACCCTGGTGGCCACAGTCCTTCCCCTGGACCTTTGGCTTTCAGAGGGGGTGGACTCCCAAATTCACCTTGTTTCACCCTCTGTTTCCATAATGAAAATACAAAAACAGCTAAAAATTAACCATCTCACACAAATAGGACGTTTACCCACCCAGGTTCAATGTTCCAAGAGCAACTTGAAGCCATATTCTCACCCATCTGAAGAAAAACCAAAGGAGAATAGGCTGCCTGATGCTCACCCCTTGAGGAAACCCATAAAAGGAGTGCAGGGAGTTTATGCTATTTCTGTGGATCTGTATGAGTGTGTCAAGAACGATATGCCAAAGGACTCTACCAGCCCAGAACCCAAGGATAATGTCACTATCACAGAAGATGGAACAAAATGGTTCAGGACAACTAGGCTATACATTCCCCCAGAAGATCATCACCATTGTATGT